TGCAAACAAAAATAATCAAAGCAAAAAAAGCGATATCACCGGGAGAGACTATTTCAATGTCTCCGACACATGCTTTCTATCTTCCTCCATTCGCCCCTCTCTGACCTAAAATTCCAACTCTTCCTTTTTCTCCTTCCTCTCCCACATCTCCCGGAGGACCTTGAATACCTTGAATTCCAGGGCTTCCTACTGGTCCACGATCTCCCACATCTCCTTCAGCTCCCTGATATCCTCTCCTTCCTGGATTTCCCTTTCGTCCATCTCGTCCTGGCGGACCTGGAAGACCTGGAGGTCCTGTACGTGATGGGCAAGCCTGAAAGCAAAATTTATGTGTACTGAAAGGCTTTTTCAAATAAACTTTACCTCATTCAGAAACAATCAATTAGGGAACTTACTTGAATCATGGAAACAACGCTAATGACCGATAAGAAAATACCGAGAAAATGCATTGGTACTGAAAATCTGAAATTGGTTACTTCATAGTGGTTGAAATTCTTTAGACTTTTTTTAAATCTCTGTCTTTAAACTCCTACGGAAGAAAAATGCCTACCAAAAATACTTTCAGCTTCTCTTTACGTTCACACTGCAACTTTCTTCTTATTTAAACTCCTTATTTCCCTATGAACGATCGTTGTTTATTGGTCATATTTTAAAAAATTCCTTACTATAATATCATCAAAAATGTGACAAACGATTTTAAAACTTTAATGAAATTTGATGAAGCGAATTTCAAAGAGAGAAATTTTCTATTTATATTGGACAATGTCTGATATGAATCAATCTAGAATTCATAAAATGAAATATTTCAGGAATTTTTTGTTGAATGGTCGCATAAAATGTAATATCAAGTGATAATTGACGATATCTATGAAAGCAAAACGGATCTTTTTAGATAATAATTTAAAGCAAACGGAAGGATATTCGGTTGATCAGATCAATGGTTGATAGAGGATCCGGGAGATGGGAGAAAAAACAGGTTTTGGACCTTCGAGAAACAAAAATGATTTGGAAGTTTGGCTAATGCCGGTCATTTGTAAATTATTTGTTTTTGAGAAATTTCTGAATTCCTTCATATTTCAAACTTTATCTCTTGTCTTCTCAGTAATTTCAACTAAAATCCAAGTTCGATTTTTTGAACATTTGCGAAAAATGTACTGTGGTTCAGAAGATCATCATAGTGAAAAATTATTTCCATTATGCGACAAAAATTTGGAATTTCGGAAACACTTGAAAATTTCGAAAACTTAATGTTATCTAAAAATTGTTCCTATAACAGAGTATTTTATTTTGTGCAACTTTCAAAAAAACATTGCAAATTGCAAATGAGTTTTTTTTGTGGAAATTTAGTTCCGTTGTGCATTACGTTTCCAATTTATGGTTTTCATAACATAATCGAAGTACGCAAATATTCTATGTTGATGGAAGCAGATAGATCCGAAACCAGAAAAACCAGACAAAAACCGACACCTCTGGGAAAGTGGTGTCTGTTTTTGTCTGGTTTTTATTCACGAATGCGTAATGTGTGAATAAAAAAGTGTTATCCAGTTTTTGTATAGAGTTTTTTAAATCTGCACCTAATTCAACAATAATTTGAAATTCATTAGATTTTGCATCAAAATCAAAAAAGGTACCATATTTGATAGCGGCTACCATTTTCGATAGTGTACTACTTAGATAAATCTCAGAAATACACCAAATTCTAAAAATTCGATTTTATCGAACTAGATTATTTCATACCATTTTCTTAATTTTTGCCCTATTTTGCTATTTGTCATATTTCAAAATTTCAATGACTCTTACCAAACTTCTATATCATGATTAAAATTTAAGCAATAATCTTTGTCGATTTCTAGAAAATCCTGGGAAAAATGCAGATTTGGTGGAATTTATCTTTTTTCAATTTTTATTAAATTTCAAAATTAAAATCACTAGAATGTAAATTTTTCACAATTGGTGATTTGCAATTTTAAATTAACAGCTAAGTAAATTTCCATTTTTTTTCACAGCTAAGCTTTTGCATTGGTACTACTTGGAACTATTTTAGGCATAGTTTTAAAAAATTAAAGCTAATGAAAAATTTCAACGTTATATTACTATAATTCAATTGGGTTTAAAATGTTTAGCGATAACCACATATGTTTAAAATATTTAGCGGTAATTATTTACTCATTATATTTGGAAATTGTTTATTTTATGTTTTAGAACAATGAATGTTCGGGTTTTGTCCATACTTAATGCATTGTTCATCATACACATTGCGATATTCAAAGGAAACATACAGTAATGTTCATTTATTTTTAAAATAATAATAAATCTCCGATAAAGAAAATAAGAACATATACAATGTTGCTGTAATGGGAGACGATTGAATTTCTCTAATTTAAATTGACATTATAGCGTTCAATTCATTTCCTGAAACTTCAATCTGAACAACAAAGGCAAAATTCAAGAAACTGTTTCAAGGCGATTTGATTTTTTTAAACAATAATAAATCTTGACAAAATAAACGCTATTACATCAAGTTACTTAAAGAAATTCAATCGCTTTCTATTACAGTAACATTAAACTTTTGCACCATGATTAAATTTTTAATTTTTGTCCATTTCTATTATTACGCTAGAAAAACTCTTGCATGGAATTTAACCAAGGAAATAAATTATGTCAAGTGAAATGGAGCAAGCGAAGCTTAGATTATCCGTTCTTTCAACTTTTATCAAGCAAATTTTCACAGCTAAGCTTCTACATTGGCGCAATTCCAAACTTTTTTAAGCTAATGAAGATTTTCAACGCTACTACCTAATGTCCTTTCACTTCCTCAATGTTAAAGATAATATGCAGTATCAGACTCAACATGTGCTCTTTTAACTGAGTATAAATGTACCGATAATTTTTTTTATCTTCATATATAAAGCCGAGAACCGAAGAAAAAACGCCATAATATGCTAGAGCAATAAAATTACTCTTTGTATAAAACATTTTTAGATAAGGAATTCATCACATTATGCAAAAATTAATTACAACATTTTCTCATATTTGGTGATGAATTTGTTTTGTATAATATGTAAGATCATGCACATCCGGTGTGCTGATTGTAAAAAAATAGCTTGAGAAAAATTTTAATCTTGTATTTCATTGTAAACCAAATCTATTTACCAAGAAGATATAAAAGGTTCATTCAAGAATTAATTGTCTTGAAAGATTCGTTGTTAAATTGGTGACTTGCGGAAAAGGAAATACGTACTTTGAATTGAATTTGAGACTGAATAATCAATTATATAGGTATTAGTTATTGTTAACACCGCATATAGCCGCAAATAGAATAAAACAGAAGATTGAAGTTCAATAATCGGGAGATAAAAGTAATTTATTCAAAGTTGGATTCAGAAAATTGTGATTTCTAATGCTTGACAATCCTTTTGTAAGTTTAAAAGGGGTTTGGCTTAGAATAAAAATGTAAAGGCGAAATTTATATATGAATGAATTTATTAGATGTTAAAATTCTAGGTCTGCAGGCGCTTGACACATTTGAGCTGAAAGAGATTACATATGAATTAGAATTGGAAAGAAAAAGAGATTTTAATTACATAGAAATGCAAGATTGGAATTTATATGCTATTATCTAAGCTGCATGTATAATTGGTACAAAGATGAATTTTTCTTTTATAAATCAGCGTACCGAATGTGCATAGCATCTTACACAGATGCATTCAAATCTTGTACGACGATTTAAATTAAATAGCATATTCATTACTGGATATGGAGAAAATGCCGGATTAAATTTTGTATAATGTGATTAAAACTTTATCAAAGTGTTTTTATACAAAGGATAATTTTATTGCTTTGACATATCTTCTTTTCTGTTTTTGTTCCCGACGTTAATTTTTCTGATTCTGTCTTTGAATAATTACTTTCATCTCCCTATTGTTGTATTCAGTCTTCTGTTACTAGGCTATTTGGTTATCTGTGGTGTTAGCGGTAAACTAACAACAATATAATGGAGCACACAGTCTCCAATTCGACTCGAAGCCTTTTCCCACTATACCTAACTCAGTCACTAATTTAACACCCATCTTTCATGACACTTCCCCACCGAACAATTGTTTCAATGGACGAACAGAGGACGACTGCATGTGAGGTACTAAAAATAACCACTTGTCCAAAATTTTCCATTACCCAACTATATGACTCAGATGTTGTCACTTCCTCAATAGGAAAAAATAATCAATGAAAAAGGTTGTCTATGGGTTATGAAGAGTATTGATAAATGCTGGAAAAGACTCCAAGGGCTTAATATTAGGCAAACTGAAAAATCCTAAGGACCACATTGAAAGTGTGATCAGAAATAACAAGAACACACTAAAAATCAAAGAGTGGCAGTAATAGAAGGCATATCTTCTTAAAACTAAGCTTTGA